CTAGAAGCATCTGCCGAAAAAACCGATGCCGGTAGCGACAAAAACTGCGGGGAACTCTGCAAAAAAGGCATCTTCGCACGGGTAGCCCGTGCGTTGGCCAATTTTTTTCAAAGATAAGTACACTGAGAGTAGCGCAAGTGATGGTATCTTGTCGACAAACTGCCAAACCTGTAGTACAATTTCCTGGCTTCGCTTTTGGAGCAAGACAGACCCCCTTCCCCTCCAATCCTTGGATATAAGGCAAGATACTCGAGTCGAATAGCTGTTAATTCATATTCTGGTCCTTCACCTACGATTTCCTAACGTTGTATTAGATCGAACTTAATCCGCTCCTTCCGCTCCCTCTACCTCCTTCCTTTGTATGCTGGGTGCGCTACTCGAGTACGGTGAAAAGTTACAGTTTTATATATTAAATCATCATCTGTACAATCGACAACACTACTACCAGTACTACTTCAATTTGAAGAATGATGCAAAAGGAATGAAAAAGGCTAACCAGAAAATCTTTGCATAATCGGAATAGTGCAACTGGCCATTGATCGAGGATATCTTTGACTAATGGTGGTGCTACATGGCGAATTCGCGGAAGGCTCTCACTGTTCACCAGATATCGATGATCAACCAAGGCGTGAAGGTGATCTAGCAACTCGCTTGAAAAAAGAAAGTCTTAACAGCAGAGCAATTTCCTCGAGCGACGCTCCCTTACGAAGAGGAGCGATGCAAAACGTAATAAAAATTCAAAAAATCCCTTGTTCACCTTCTCTGTCCCGTGCTCAATCCTTACCCCGAGGTAGCATTTATAACTCTGCTTAAACCAAACCAGTCACTCAGCTTTTACTAATAAATATTCAGAGGTGCATGTGCTGCATTTTCAACCACACGATCATGCATACTCTGAAAGTGTAAGCAAACCACTAAGAGACAAAATCCCGTCCAATTTCATATTCTCTGTGTATCAGAGAAGTAAGCCAAATGATTCCAGTAATAACCACTGAATCGACGGCTGTAGATCAGCTCGTCCTTTCGAGGCCGGTATCGGCCTCTCCATAATGATATGCCGAAAAATGAGCCCTTTTCCCCTCCCCAAACTCCCCTTCCCGGTGCAAAATAATTCATTCCACTCAATCCTGCAAATTAAAAAACTTTTTACGGTTTGGTTTTTCAACCAGAATCTTTTTGTCAATTCTTCGCCAGTTTTCAAATTCGAAATCAACACAGCACTGGTTCAATTTTTGATTTTTTTTTTGTCATTTTTAATGATTACTGGCCTAATTTCTCAAAAATAATTAGATACTCCGCAAATTCCGTAATATCACTCCACTCCCTGTGTGACCAAATATACGTGTCGACCAGTCGCGCGTCATTTCCAACATATTCTAAGCTGTCCTCTGAATCCATTGAATCCTCATCTGTGTCATATTCCACCTGAAAATTCTATGTTGTTTTACAAAACTGGCTGTAAGTATAAAAATTAAAAATATAAAAATCACAAGTAACATTTTGGGGTGCCGCAAAGATGTGTTAGTCCCAGTGCAACAGTTGAGAGATGGGGG